AAACTTAAAGCAAGAGAGGCTTGCATTGCCTTGAAATTTGTGCAGCTGCTGGAGGAAGATGCTTTGCCACTTTGGTTCCTATTAGGTATCGTTACTGAAGCGGTCGAAACCTCAGGTTCTCCCTGGCTGAAGGAGGAAGTTGATTTGGTGATCAGGTCGGACAGAACCAGTGGCCGAGTGAAGTATTTTCCTCATTTTATCATGGGCAACTAGACACTCAGTACTTGGAGGCCCCCTACGACCTGTGCAGCCAAGAGCATCAAAGCGATATACCCTATATTTACTGATAGATGCATGGATTGATAAAATATACTTTGAAAAGTAGGTAATCGTGCATCTTTGGTACATGATGCCAAAATGAGGCTTCCCTGACCACAGTGACCCGTATTCTCTAAAGTGTAGATGACTGCCGACTATACCAGGAGGTTGCTAGAGTGACAAGCTTACTTTTCTCAGGACACCTGCTCTACCCTCACTCTATCCATAATGCTCGCATTTTATGAGAATGAAACGATTAGTCACGATAGAGCCGACTGTGAGTCCTTTGTTGCTCACTCGAGGTAGCTAAAGTCGGTATGTTGTCGGATGGGGATGAAGATTATAAATGTGTGTTTAGCCCCATAGCCAGACATACCCTAAATCCAATTGCATATAGCTTGTGGTTACTTGATAATCTTGGTAGGCTCCACAAGTCATTGATAAAAAACAGTAAATTATAAATGGATTAAATAGTTTTCGGACATACAAGTAGAATTTTCTAAAGAATTATGGTCCCTTTGAGTCGCTTCAGGTGGTGGGACAACTGATAATTTAGTGTAGTGAGTAAAAATCTCATAATGCCAGGTAATTCCAAATAACTATATCGTAGATAGAAAAGCAAGATTGTGTGGTCTTGGGTTAGATAGCAGTCTTCTTTGGATAAATATAGTGTTGGTTTGACCCTAAGGAGGGAAAATGCAACATTTGGAGAGGATAAAATTGGTTGAGTCTTTGATAAATTGCAACCATGTGCTAAGAACAGCGCCGTCACTGACGACGTTGACTAAGATGCCGCCAAAATATCTGTGAATGTACCAAATACCGATGCTGGAAATCATCATAAATGATATAACAGAAGATGCAGGACTTTCAAAAAGGTCTACGAAAAACTTTGCCTCAAAAAAAGCAATCTCATTCAGGATGAAATAGGGTTTTGATCTTTAAAAGACGACAGCAGATTCTTCCTGTCTACACGGTATAGTCTTGGTGACGCCCTCTAGGCAATCTATTTTAGTTCCATTGTAATAGTGTTAAACTTTCTTCTGACTCATGAAAAATAGCCCCTAATCAGAGTATCACTCTTGCAAACAACTCAAACTAATGAGTCAATAAAACTCTCCTGCCTATCCATACATGCTTTATCATAAACATTAAACCTATAAAATTTTCGGTTGTTGTTGTTTCGGTTTGTTAATGCCATTAATTAATATATAAACCGTTGCTATTGTAGGGATAATAGGTGAATTATCTTTACTCATTATTTTGGATTGTTTTACAAAAATTGTACTCTACTCTGATGATGTCAATTATATGACAGCAGAAATCTCAGTATGTTTTTCTCAGAAAAAAAGAAGAACGTAACTAGGGCATCGCTAAACTTAACACTATTGTAAAGCCTAACGAAAACTGGTCAAAAGGAATCCAGAATTGTCTGCGGATTTGATTGACCTACGAATCTTTTCATCATACACTTTCATTCAAAAGTAAAGAAAGTTTAGTCATTTAAGCAAAGATAACTTGTATTCGCATATATAATATTAAGTTAGTCACTGAAATCAGGAATCTGAATGCTTCCAAGGTACAGTGCCCAAGATTATTTGAAGAGCAGAGTTTATCTATCATTCATATTGGGAAAAAACGCTGTCAGCAACTTAGAATCCTTAAAACATTAGTTTGAATTCAACATCCTGATAGCAACGTCCGACGTAGTAATGAAAACCCTTCAGAATCATATCGAGTCAATCGGATAATACTCGGTTGCCTGTGTAAACCGAGAAATATGTAGGAAATCTGGTTTTTGAATAATCCCTTTATAAATTGATGTTGGGGTACTTTTCATTTCATTTTAAGAGGTGGAAAGAAACGATTCGTCAGTTGGCCTCTCCGGGAGCCGAATGAACATTTCCTCTGGGCTGTGACTGTAGATTTGTATAAATGAGTCCTCGGCTCACCGTCCTACGACCTAGATGAATCCTTGCTGAGCCTTCGTTCATCATGTAATGAACATACTCAGAGTGGGACGCCATTATTAAAGATGGATTATCATAACACGAAGACAAGTAAGTTTGCCGGAAGTCTTCGAGCTTTTATCAATTATTCTAGATCATGATGTCCGTCAAATAACGAGCGAAAGCTCAACAAGGATTTTTCGGGTTCGCGTGAAGGTGAAACGATGACTCATTTGCATAAAGCCAACTCCAAGTCAATTACTCATCGGCTTCCGATAAGGCCAACACGTAAATTCTTCTACTCGCCTCTTTAAGCAAAATAAAAAGTGCAACAACATGAAGAAAGCTTAAGGTATTCATCCCATTTCGTTTAAGGTGACTTGAAGACTGGTAGTTAAATTTTTCAGCAATTATATGAGTAGACTTTGCGTTTCCATTGAATTTTGCATAGCTTTGCTTTCCAAAAGGGCATCTTATTTAGGTTGGACTGCAGTTTCGACCTTTCCTTGGTCTCGTCAGTACCCCCAGCGGGAGTCGAACCATGACAGTTCAGCGTATAACCTACGCCAGATTGCCAATAATGCTCATGTGTCAAAAGGCAGGTGTGCATTTCAAGGAAGGCCAAGCATTTTCTCATATCACATTCACCTCCTCTTTTCATATTTTCCTTGGGTCATTAAGCCATAATAAATCTGGGCTGAAGTTAAGCAATTTTCTACTTACTCTGAGTTATGACCGGTTTTGCGTACAGACGTTAACACACAGACACACAGAGACACACACCAGTTTACGTGACTTAAACAAACCTATATATATCCATCTATGTGCTAAATTGTGCTCGCAATGAGTATATATAGAACATATAGAAAAAGTGGTCTGCCTCTTTGATTTAGTTTTAACTTGCGGCTTTTGCAAGAATGAGTCCCAGCTATGACGATGTCTGACTTCGTCCGAAACATTGGAGGATGCCTCGTGGACTGCATCAACCCGAACGTCGTATTAAGGCCAAATGCGTCTTCTTGTGAGATTGACTTACGAATCGCTCATCATGAACTTCCACACGAAATGAAAGTCTTTACAACAATATTATCATCCAATTTTACTATTTTACCATTGTCCGATTTGACAGATAGCGAATTCAGCCACCTCACACAAAGGAAAAGCCAACTTTTGATGAGCATCCCAAAGCGTCGTCTTTATCCAGACTGGACTGCAGTATTGGCCTTGCCACATCACGTCATCAGCATCCCCAGCGAGATCCGAGAGTTGCTGTGCAGGTTAAAAGGCAAACAAAAGCAAGAAGTGTTGAGCTTACTTCCATTTCGAGTGAAAGTGTTGGGTGAAGAGATTCCAAGGTCGGTTCCACCAGAAGAAGACGGCGGATTCCTCTTGACCAGCTATCGATTGGCTTCACTGGAAGATTCATGCTGGAGCTGTTTCCGAGGCAATCTCCTTCGGTCCCGGTGAAAAGGTGCTAAGCTTTCGTCCATCATATGACGGACAGCATCAGAGCGAGGTGTCATCGTCACAACAAAATTCAAGCCAACAAGTCAAGAAAACTCACCGGCAAATCCCTAAAAAGTGGTATGAATACTCTACATCTGGTCTCTTTGATCAAGTATAAAGTGATTTGGTTAGTTAAGGGCATATGTCAACTTCGATGCATGTGAGTGTGTCTGTCTCTTCTTTCTTCGCATAAAAGCAAGAAGGCCTTCCACAACTGGCATCATTTGTAAGGAATTCTATACTTAACACACTCACTTTCGGGAGACACCAAGTTTGCTGATAGCACAGATGGACAATGAAAAGATATATATGAGACGAGTGCATCCTATTTCGTCTAAGATGATAAGGAGACTGGGATGTGATGAGATTTAGACGAAGTTGAAACAGCAGTCTAACTTGTATGAGAATACCTTTTGGGAAAGCAAGACTATGGGAAATTCAATAGAGACGTAGGATCTGCTCATATGACTGTAGAAAAATTCGCTTACCAGTCCTGTATCGCCTTAAACGAAATGGGGTGAATGCATATCATGTAATGCATTTAGTAGTCAATACACGTCTGCGATTCTAGTCTCTCTGGGAATGCTGATGGGACTCGAACTATTTCGAACCCGCTGCCTGGGCGGATTGCTCATTTCATCCCAGCGAAACAAAATCAAGTCGGCAGATATGAAGAAAAGATGGGTTTCGAAGACTACCTTAATACCTGTAGTCCTGTTTGAAGAGGCAAACTTTCGAAATTCCTAGATTAATCATATCGGAAATCGGAGGATTGTCTTTTCCATGTAAAGACTTATTCGAACAAATGTACAAAATCTGGGTAACAGAATGCCTCCCAGAAGCACTCGTGGCAATGTGGCGCTGCATTGTCATGTTTCAAGTCCCGCTTGGTGTGCTGATGAGACCTTGACGAGGTCGATACTGAAGTCTACTCCATCGTTGGCATGTGAGCTCTTGGAAACTTAAGGTCTACACATAGCATTGTTGGCAAATTCAACTACCACTACTTCATCACCTTAAACGAAATAGGGTGCATACACCTCATATATATCATCTACTTGTAGTCTCGAAAGCCTACCTATAAACATATAACATTTTCACAATCGCACAATCTTATAGCCTTCCTTAGGCCTTGATGTCAGTTTGGTGTCGTCGAGTCAACCAAGTCCACTTTCAGCTGTCATTCACATATGATCATTTTCTCCATTGGCATCCATTCAAGTTGAGGAATATTGCCGCAACTGACCAATGAGACTGCCTTATTTGTAAATATCTCGTGCCGAATAAATGCACATCCGTTGGTTGACAAGTGAATTGGTGCTGGAATTCCCCCATGGCAACCATGAAGAACTCGACGGCCTAGAACTGCTTGGTGTGATTCGCTCAGTCAGCACGACGTATAGACCCGAAAAGCAAATCGCCCAATCTACTGGTCATCCTGTCCTCAGGTTCTGTCACTATGACTTGTTAATTGCAGTCTAGCATTTAGCTTAATACACTTTTTGCGTGAGTATGCGGAGACCTGGCTGGGAGGGGCAGGGGTCAAAAGGAATAATTGTCTTCACCGGTACATGGCTGGCAGTGAAACAGGCCCAGGGCCCGTGCAGTAACGAAATTGAGGCTAATTATTGTCCGCGGTAAAAGACCAACTGCCACCGGCTAATTCCATACGTTCAGTATGCACTTGTGAACGTTCGGCCTCCCCACGAGTGAAGAGCCAAGCTAAATACACTTAAAGAGGGTCATAAAATTGCGCTCCGTTGTTGCGACATATCACTACAGGCTCCATCCGCACCCTCGGCCCCTTAATCTGATGGTATATGCCAAGTGTAGCCTTTACTTCCATCTTCACATTGCCCCTCTTCCAGACCCACCCGGCGACCCCTTCTTGCCTCGGTCTGGCCGATGCAGACATGCGTGAAGGAGATGGGGGAAAAGCGAAGTCCCGTCTGTCCACCAAAGCCAATGTTCACGGGGTGGTGATGCTGCCTCGTAGACGGCATGTAATGACCACATACCATTTTTGTACAGTCTAAACACTTTTGTCGGCGATTCTGGTAACGTGCCTATACGAGAGGGGAAAAATAGACTTGTTTTGTCCTCTACTCATACAATTCTGTGGGTGTATGTGATAATGTGTCCGTTTGTCTCTGTCGCCGTGTGATTGCCGGTTGTTTTGGTTGGCTAGACAGCAATCTATGCATGCATTCACATGCGTGTTCTACTGGATTTGTTTGTGCACATGTGCGTGAGCCGTCTTTTGTATGTGTTCGTGTAGGAGGAAAGAGAGCAAAATGTGAACAATTCAGCCGTAAAACAATGAAAAACATTCTGTTCCCCCTGAGCCCGACTGAGTAGGCTGAACTCTGCTGTTGCTTTTTCCGGACTCGCTGAGCCTCAGGCTAGCGTCGTACACTCTTCTGCATTTGATAAAGTATATCGTTCCTATTTTCCTCTGCTCGTCAAGCAACCACTCAAAGTTGCCTTCTTTCGCTCGCGACTAGAGCCCCTCTGAATCGGGAAGCTACTCACAAATGCCTGCGAGCGCTTATTCTTATCCGAGTCTCTACTTCCGCTCCTGCTCTCCTTCCAGTCAATGCCGGTCTTAACGAGGCAACATGAAGAAGATGGGCTGCATCCGTACCAGAGAGTCAGGATGGAAAGAAGTTGGTGCCCGGGATACTGAGGCAACAGACAGGATGATGAATTTGACAAGAAATGAAGATCTAAACCTGAGTACCGAAGCTAGTCGATCGGGGTCAGGTGGGCCAGACACTGTGGGTTTTGTTGGTTTCGCTGAAGTGTAATTATCAGGGCAACCTTTTATTGAACATCTAATCCTTATTCTTTTTTGCCGGTTCCTCTTTCCCTTCCTGACCTTTTCATTCTACATTCTGCCTCATATTTTCCTGAGATATTTTTAATGTCAGCCTCCCTCCTGATTGTTTGGCTCTTCCAGCTTCCCGCTCTTTGTATACATTTTCCTCTACTGTCGCCTCTACCTTGAAGAAAATTTTGCTTTCCCGAAGTCATACGATGGCCAATTATTAATCCCATTTCCATTTTGAGTAGAACTGGGTGATGAAAGATTCAAAGTATTCTTTTTGACTTTGCCAAAACCTCCTGGGCGATCTGCTTCGATTCTGGGGAAAACATGCTGAGCTTTTGTCTTTCATGAACTCGACAGTTATCCTCAGATCTGGGTATCATTCTTACAATCAATTCAAACCACCAATTGAAAAAATAACTCACTGGCTCATTAATGCACTTTGAACCCGTGCATTTTGTAAGGTATAGGAGTTTGGATGGGCAACGATCTCTTCAAAAAATTAAAGCAGGTCACAACTTCTGCCCTCGATCATCAAGGTTTAACTAACCCTCTTCCCAATTAACAATCCAAGTCTCATTTCTCTAAACATGAACGTATGGAATATGTGACCGTAATCAGAACAAAAGCCTGCACAAAACCTTTGAGTCACTTCCCTATTTTAGGGGGCCCAACAAACTCGCTTAAATAGAGTAAGGCATTTAGGTATGTTACGTTCTTGCCTATCCTCTTACCAATATTCCTGACATTTAATGTATTGTTAGGGGGAACTTCATTTCGAATGAAAGTACATGATGAAGAGATTCGTTTGTCGTTCTCAC